TCTTTGTAGTGGCTATAATTGCTTAGTACTCTCTTGTTGCTTGGGTAGAGTGAAGGCTGTTGCCACTCCAATTTGGTATTATAATAATATATATTGGATTTTTGAGCGAGTACCAAAACTTCTTTATTCTTGAAGTAAATATGAGCCCTTCTATTTTGATTTCCATTGCAGTTTGTTAAAATATGGACTGTCTGCACTTTGTATTTTTTTAATTGTCGTAAAAGTAAACTATCTAATGCTGTTTTAGATATGTTATGTATTGTAGCCTTAAATCTATTTCTCTCTTCTAATTCTTCTAAGTTGAATTTTCCTGGGGTTACTCTGTATGTTTTTTCTTGATCTAAGTGTACTAACCAGTTTACTCTTAAAGAAGTCTCTCTTTGTTCTAAGCTCAATGAAATTTGGATATATGCCGCTTTGGTTCTATGGAAATGTTGCTATGCAATAATTGATACTATGCTATAATAACTAAGATATTTTTTGATTTCTCTTGCATTCATTTCTTTAGGCATATCCCATAGAGTGAAAAAGTATTGTGATGTATTTAAAATTTTATATGGAACAAAATTGCCTTTGGGAGCCCAACATGAATTAAAAATATCTTCGTAGTGTTTGGATTTTTTGCTATTTTCTTTCTTTGTTGTTTTTATGTCAGTCCAAGTATCTTTTAACTTTTCTTCAATACCATAATCTAAGACTCCACATTTATTTTTAACTAAGATATCTTTAATTGATTCTTTTTTGGTTTCATCTAAGTAGTTCAGAGAATCTTGTTCATATAACTTCTTTTGCATGATAGATCTATCTTTCCATTTTTTGTGTAGCCATTAGAACTCTTCTTAATACTGTTTATATGAGATGGGAGGATTTCCATAGGAACTAATCTATCTTTACCTTTACCAAGATTATTACTATTACTTATTGGTAAGCCAATCTGTATTGGGTTAGTTTCCATTGGGATTGGTTCATTTGTATTTTCTTCTTGAGTAAAGTTTATTTCTATAGGAGTTAGTTCAGTTTTGACTAAATTGCTAATATTTTGTATTTGAGTCTTATCTAAACCATCTTTGATTAATATTTTCTCTTCTTTGGTTAGCTCTATCTCTCTTGTTCTTTTTTAACAAGCATAATCATAACAATGCAATATATCGCGTATAGTAGCAATTTATTAAAAATCATCAGTACCCAAGTATCTAGCTATTCTTTTATCTTTCTTTAAACTAGTTAGTTTTTGCTCTTGATAAATTGCTATTTTCTCTTCTAGACTCTTATTAAAAAAATTTCTATAATCCTCTAGTGATGGTATTTTTGTGTTTGTTTATTTTGTTGATTAAATTTCTTGCGTTTATTTGTCTAAAACTACTCTGGTTTATTTATCTTGAAAATTCTATTCATAATAATAATTTTTATTGTACTATTATTCCTTATCTTTAACCTACTGGTATCAACCCATTTGCATATTAAACTAATCCATTTTCCAAAACCACAGCCTTGGGTATTAACTTATTTCAACAACAACAACATTATCAGTCAAGTTCAAAAAATCTTCTCTTAATCTAATAAAATCTCTATTACACATTGGCAACACAATATTAATACTTCTACTCTATACTACTATTCTTTACCCCCAATTTCTTGTACTCCTTGCCAGAGTTGCAATCTTAACTCCCATTATATAACTAGTTGTTGCACTCTAGAATAATTACTATACTAATAATATAGATAATTTGTTTGTCTGTAATCTTTTTGGTGCTAGCAATTTTAGCTAAATTAATAGCTTTTTCTTGAATAAGTTTGATTTGAGAGGTTTTGCTTATAAACTACAGTCTAAAATTTAAATAGTTGGTAAAAAGAAATAAATTGAAAACTAGAGTTAAAAAATAAAATATTAGAGAAGCGTCCACGATATGATCAAAAGATATTTAAAGAGCAAAGCAAAGGAAAAGAATCTAGTTTGTTAAACTATTCTTACAAGTTTAACAAAGAGTTAGATAGCAATCAAGAAAATAGACCAAAAAGTAGAACCATTACAAGAAAACAACAAACAGAAAATATTATGATAGAGGACACATCAGTATATAATAATAATGATAATAATAAAACCAAAAAAAATAAGTTAGAAGAAACCAAGTCATCAATGATTCATAAGGAAAAAATAACCAAAAATGAAAGCAAAGCAGAAGAAGATAATTACAGATCAATCTTAAAAGAGATTTTAGGTAGACTAGACCAAATTGAGAAAAAACACTTAGGAGCAGATGCTTCTAATTTTTCCCAAAAGTTGCTATTGGCATCTCTATAAGAACAAGTGGTAGCCTGGCATCACGATTACAAGAAGTGGTTAGAACTCATATCCAGGTAGAATCTAACCTCCAGAAATTAAATACCAATAAGTCAATTTTAATTTAAAAAAAAAGAAAAAATTAGATTAGATATAGCATTTCACAATATTAATAGGCTAAGACAAAACAGAAGTAAATTAGATAGTTTAATTGATTGGGCAGTTGCAGAAGAGATAGGAATTTTAGGTTTAGCAAAAACAAATATTTGTGAAAAGGAGAGTTTTTTTGCAACAGACAGAGATACAGCTTATAGAAGCTTTTGGTCAAAAACAAAGATTTCTAAAACAAAGACTCAGGGGTTGGATTATTAGTAAGAGAGAACTGGGAAAAACACCTTGGCAAAGTGAATAAATTAAGTGAATATTTACTAGAAGCGAACTTTTATTTTAAACAACTAGAACTTATAGTAATAGTGATTTATATTCTACCAAATGACAAAAATGCAACCAAGTCAATACAACAGAGAATAGTTAAGCGATTTTTTGACAGATCACCAGTTACACAATTTATAATTATGGGCAATTTTAATCACACGATAGATCCATTATTAGATAAGAGTAGTCATTTGTGTAACAGAAATAGCAAAATGCTACCTTTACATAGATAGCTTAGAAGTCAGGAGTTCAAAGATATGTTTAGATTTTTGTATCCAGATAACAGAAGTTACACTTGGTCAAACATGCAAAGTAGCTCAAGAATTGATCAAATTTGGATCTCTGAAGTATTAGTAGCAGGACTAACTAATGCAACAATTAAAGATATGAGTTGCTGTATATAGCAAGTGATCATTAGCTTATCCAAGCCTCAATCGATTTAAGTCACTCAATTTCAAATTATAGAATCTCTCAATCAAAATGATTACATAAAACAAGAACAATTTTTATATATGATGCAGCAACAAAAGAGGATTGGAACAATTATAGAAAGAGCTAGATGATCTATTGCAAAAAGGAAACTTATTGGTTAAATTAGATTCTCAAAGTCTTGATGAGATATGAGATATTATACAAAAAAGCATAATGCAAGTGGCAATCGAAAATATTCCCAAAAAGAAAGTCCCATTAGAAACAAATTATAAAAGAAAGAAGAAAAGCGAAAAGAATAGATCAGAGATATTTCAAGACATGACTACATTAAGTAAAATCGTAAGAAAACTCAAAAAGAAAATAAATTCCAGTATTTCTGATGTGGAGCTAATTAGCATTAATCAGGACCTAGATAGGATCAATAAAATACACAAAACCAATATCCCATGAGTAGGAGAAATTTCATTAGATTTGGTAGAAGACCTAAGGGGTTGGTGGAAAATTTTGAACACAAAATGGTCAAGCAAGAAAATGCAAGAAACGAGAAAAACGATCATGAAGAAAACTGAGAAAAGATATGCAATAATTGAAGCTGACCAAAAAAAGATGATCCACAGTTAGGGTTCCAAGCACTGACCTGGATAACCGTAAAACTGATAACCCAACCTGAAAAAATTACTATCTGGGTCATATTTTTGACAAACCGGTTTAATATCATAAACGGGGCATCCATTAATAAACAGGTCATCCGTCGATAAACAGGTCACCTGTCGATAAATGTGTTACCCGTCAATAAGCTATAGGAGGACATTCGTCTGATTGGCTGATGTAAATCAATTGTCTAGATAGCTTATTTATACAACATTTCACTAACAAAAAATTACTGTTAAAGCCATTTTTCGCTTCGATAGAATGTCTAGATTCATCATACAAAAATAATCAGTAATAATCAGTATCCCATGAACTTTGCTAAGAAGGCAAAATATGCCTACTGTTTATCAGACTATATCAAATTATACTATAAAGTGAAGGTAACCAGAAACATTTTCGTCTAAAACTATTTTATTACGCTGGATTTGAATAAACTTTTATTTCTAACTTTTTAATTTGAATAGGTACAAGTTCTTTAGCAGAGAGGATCCGGGCTTAATATTTAAATTTGGTCAGTTCTTGTAGTGCGTTTGAGTTGGTCAACCGTAGATTAATAGTTAAAAGATTTAATTTATATCTTACATGATAGATTTTTTAATGAGTTCAGGTTTATTAGTAATAAATATCAATTTACCCACTTTACGTGTATATATCTATTCTCTACATATAAATAATAAATTCTTTCATGTGTATTTTTAGTTTGTAAGCTTTTTTATACGAAATTTCTATATTTGGTTGTATTGTTGACTTAACTTCACTAATCAGTTATCTGGGTCAACCAATTATAATCAGGTGTCCCATTTTATTCGGATAGCCAGATCACCTAATTACAACCTGGTGACCTGTTTTAATCGGGTAACCAGGTTTAGTTTTGGGTACCTAGTTGGAAAAGATAATTGATCCGATGGGTTACAGATAGGGATTTTCAAACCGGTTTGGAACCCTATCCACAGTTTACTTAACAAACCATAGAAAAAAATACAAGTAGATCATATCTTTGAAGCCACGAATAGCAAAAAGAAGCTTATAGTAGATCTGGATAAAATTTTGCTAAAAACCAAAAAACACTTTCAACAACAATTTCACAAAAGATTGAATCAATTAGAAAATGTGACACATGAGTGGGAAGAGATTTATAAACCAAAAGAAAATATAGAAGAGTCATAGTATGATGATCTAGAAAGACCAGTTTTTTTTGAGGAATGGGTACAGGCTCTTAGATGTACCAAAAATAATTCAGCACCAGGAATTTCTGGTATTAACTATCTTTTAATTAAAAACTCAAGTACAGAGGCTCAAAAAATCTTTTGTAATTTTGCAAGTCACTATATTGTTGAAGGAGATATTCCTACAAAATGGAAAATAGCTCAGATTTATTTAATTCCAAAAGACTTAGATTGGGAATTTTCTTTAGACAAGGTCCGACCTATTGCTCTTTTAGAATCCTTCAGGAAATGTGTTACAAGAATTTTTAGTAAAAGACTCGCAACGATTTGTGCAAGCAAAAACATTTTGCAAGGCCCTAATTTTGCAGGTTTGCCTGGAGGGTCAACCGAAACGCCAGTTCATATAATTAATA